AACAAATGCCATAGGGCCCCCATTTTATATCTCTTATATTAATTGCACAGAGTTAGCCCATTAGGTTAAGATTATTGGACTGATTATTGAAGCCCAAAACAACAATACCCCGTCTCTTAGTCTTTTATCAACGTGCGTCAACCAAAAAGAAAGCGGAAGGAATCAGGAACGACTGGGCGTGCGAGAGCGAGTGTAACACTCGTAGATTCGGGTTAGTCACTTTAGAGACAATAAGCGTCAAAATGACTTTGTGACAAGGGTTTCGTATATATAAAGAAGGCTGAAATCTGAGTTATAACAAAGAAGTAATGATCCGTCGAAGTTTTTCGGCAAAACCGACACGACACCGGGAATCGTAAAAGTCAATTTACGATAACATATTTTCTAGCCTAAGCAATCTAAACGAAAGTCATAGTATACATTAAACCGAGAGTGTGCATAAAAACAACGTCATAATCTGACTTTCTATGAGAAAGTTATGATTTTTCTAAGATTTGTCATAGCAGTGCACAACCCGAAATTCGAATTTTAGATCGGTCAATTTTTGGCCGACGCAACCTAAACGAGAATCGAAGATCTCATTAATATTAGTGCAACAGTAAAAAGACAGACGAAAATGGACGTCGGATGAAGAAGTTCTGAATTTTTAATAGACTTTTCCTGTCCCGGACTGTTAAAAATATAACTTTAAAAATAAAGACAAAATTAGCCGACAGAGTCTAAACGAAAGTTGTAGGGTACGGTCCCGTCTACGCGTGGATATAAAGAACGTAAAAAACGGAGTTCGTATGAACGAGTTATAAATTATAATAGCATATTTACACACACACACACACACACACACACACATATATATATATATATATATATATATATATATATATATATATCATTAGCAAGGTATCGACGATGCGGTCATTATAAGACTATTGTTGAGTACTTTCGCATTAGTTTAGTACAAATATCGTTAAATCTATTTCAAATAGTATTATAAAGGAGTGTTTAGTTGTTTATATAACTATAAGGACATTAAGTAACTGTGATGGTAGTCTTTGTAAATTCAATTACTATAAATAAGAGCATTGAGCTCTCATATTTCTTGCACCATTCTCTTGATTCAAGAGTCTTTCTCTTATTATCCCCCGAGCATTTCGGTCCCTCGTGATTCGACTTCTCTTTATGTAGTTTTAGTATAGTAAGGTGAACGCTGAAGCGTTGCACGAATCTTTCTTAGAAAGATTCAGCGACGAAGTTCTGCTCCTGTAGAGTCCGACTCCTAGCTAAAATCTCCTTGTAAGTAAGTTATGTTTACCCTATTTTAAATATAGTTTATATTTAAAATTAGTATTGTTATTATGAACTTATAATAAATATTTAGGCTATTATTATGACTTATATAAGTGTCGTTATAATATTTTTTGAACTACTCGTGATACATGGAATCTAGTTTAAAGGGTTGCATAGGGTTGTTGGATTTCAGAAGTGTTATATGCCAAAATGGTCCTGCTCTCCAGTGTTTTATGTATGGCCTCTGTCTGTACATATTGGTTGGAAAATATTGTTTAAACATTTATATGATAATAATAATGCTAAGACTAATAATTAGTCACGGTAAATATTAAACTAAAATCTAGTGGTAATAATACTATGTTTCGTCGAAGGAAATTATTTTTAAGAAGTGAAGCGTTGTCTGAGTTCGGAATCTCCACCTTGACAGGTGAGTGCATAGTTACTTTCATCTTACACATAGATATGAAGTATTTTATATAAATTACGTGCTATGTGTGCATATTATCTGAATAATTGTTGTGTATGTTGGATGAAAGATTTTATACATGTTTTAAATGATTTAAACTGTATATGTATTTTATATCTACAAAATTACGTTGGGTAAAAAGATAAGTAGATTAGAGATGAGATGAGATAAATGATGATCAATGAAAGGTGAGACGAATGATGAGCGATGATATAAGAGTGATAGTGAAAAGTGATGAGCCAAAGCGATGAGCCAAAACGATGAGCCAAAGCGATGAGACAAAACAATGAGCCAAAGCGATGAGCCAAAAGATGGCCCCATCATCTAGCAGAGTATGGATGACAACCACAGACTATTCTAGACAGTCTAGTGGAACACTAGCAAGCTCGCAACCTGTAGGTGTTCCGAACTTGATGTTCACCGGTGTACTCTAAAAACCCATTGACATGTATTGCTAGTGGACTCTCGAAAACGATACTGTCAATAAATGAGATAAACCTCGACGAATATGGAGTTAGCACATCTTGAGTAAACTCCGATGGCTATGGAGTTAGCGCCTGTTGAGTAAACCCTAGTAACGATGGATTCCGTGCCTATTCCTTAGGATGATTCTTAGGAACGAATGAACGAGGAATAGTTGATTCTTAGGGTAGATCCTTAAGAGTAAATAATATAATGGGGAATTGGTAATTGGGTTGATTGACTGTTTGATGTTTAAATATAATAATTATATTATTGTGGGTTGAAAACCCTATGTACTCACCAGGTTTCTCAACCTGACCCACTCAATCTTATTTGTATCACAGGTGTCGATATGAAGTTACATTACACTGAGAGATTTAAAGAGATGTATATCACTAGTGTAAATGAATGTAAGTTCTGTTTATGCTTATGTTTCTGTATTGATGATGACATCCCAAATGTTTTAAACTTAATAAAAATACATTTCTTCAAAAATGCTTTTGATAACGTATTTATCATGTTTTTCTGGGAACAAATTCAACAATATTTTTATTAAAATAAGTACTCTGATTTTTATATAGCATAACCAAAATCGGTCTTTTCTGACCGTAAAAATGGGGATGTCACAACGAGTGATGCCGAATTCCAACTTCCAAGGCGCAATTATATCTTCAACGATCGGCTATGGAAAATCGAAACGTTTTCTCCGGATTCTAAGGTAAGCAACGATCTCAATAATCAGATTCTTCTATTTCTTCTTCAGTTTCAATTGAATCGATCTCTTATTTCTTCCCCAATTCTCCTTTTTCTAATTTCCGATTTGGTGATTTAGTACATCTGATTGCTTCTCCTTCTACCGATTTCTTCCCCAATTCTCCCTTTTCTACCGATTATTGGCTTCTATTTTCGATTCCCAAGTTTAATTTTTTTTCTTCGGCAATAGAACTAGACGATTGAGAATCTGTGACAGACCACTGAGTCGTCACAGTCTCACAGATGAAGACAAGATCACTTGAAGAAGCATTAATCCCACAGAATCGCTGTCTCGTTGTCTTATTAGTTGTGAATCTTCTTCTTTATTTTTATCTGTAAGTTCTAATTTCTAGCATTCATATTTCTTATTTTTCTGTGATTTTCTATTTTTTTTTTATGAATCTGATATTCATAATTTTATGCTATGTAGAATCAATCCAGGAAAATGACCTTCTGATTGTGTGATTGTGAATCCATGTAACTCAATAACTATGATTCTATAACAGTAAGTAGCCTTCTCGGTTTGTTTTAGAGATAATTTATTATTCATTTTCTTGATTTTAGTTGTTTAATGTTAATATTTTTAATCTGATTTTTTTTTAAACTTCAGAATTTTCTGTTGTAGCCGTGGGGTTTTTTCAATTGGCATTTGGTAATTTCTTAAAGGTTATTTAAAGGCTTACAACACCAACAATTTACCAATTACCATAAAGGCATCACTGACAGCCAACAGTAGGTACAAAGAACAAGAACCCTTTTTTTATTATTTGTTATCTGTTTGCCTAATTGCCTCTTATCACTTTATTGCATATGCATCCTAGAAAGTATATGTCTGGAAGTGAAAAACGAAAGAAAGAACAAAATAATTGAACAAGATAATGTAACTCAAAAAGGATCTATGCACATTTTTTTTTATTTTTTTATTTTTTTTTATTTTTTTTTAAATAGCTCTGCTGATGTACAAGTAAATGAACAAGATAATCTCACACATGAAATTGTTTTTAATGAGCAAGATAATGTCTTGAATGAAAATGTTTCTAAAGAAAAAGTTTCAAATGAAAATGTTGATTTTGATGATGAAAATATTAATAATGAATACGTTCATGTCAATAATGAAAATGTTAACATTTCAAATGAGAATGAGAATGAAGATGTCATGAATGATAACAATGGACAATTTATTCCACCTCTAGATATATATGATCCTAGTAATTGGGAACATCTTGACAATAACTTAAGAGACATTTTGATTGAAAAGGGCCAATAAGAAAATCAAATTTTGTGTATCCTAAATATAATCTATCTAGACATTTTTCTAATGCTTCTTATACTAATAAGTTAAGTAACTGTGAGACTAGTGATCGAAAATGGTTAAATGACTCAAAAAATTTGATAAAGTGTTTTATTTTTGTTGTAAATTGTTTAAACCTAATAATTATCACTACTAGAAAAATAGCCTTTTACGACGCTCATTGCGCGTCGTAAAAGGCTCAGACGACGCGCAAATGCGCGTCAAGGAAGGCCCTGTCATAAAGAGAGACGACGCGCTTTTGCGCGTCATCTATAGACGACACGCATTTACGACGCTCATTTACGACGCGCAATTATGACGCGCGTTTACGACATGCAATGCGTATCAAGAAAGGTCCTGTCATAAAGGAAGACGACACGCATTGGCGTGTCGTAACCTTACGACGCGCGTGTTAATGACACACATTGCATATCAAGAAAGCCCCTGTCAAGAAAGACCATGTCATAAATGAAGATGACACACATTTTTGCGTATCATAATTGTAAATGTTAAAAAAAATATTATTAATGGATTTACTTATTTTCAAATTAAATTTGTATTTAATGTTTCATAATAAAAAATAAAATATCATATACAAAAAATAGAATCCATTGAATAAATTTAATGCCATACAAATAATCTTTCGAACGACTAAGGGGATCCGATTGTACATTGTTATTAAGAAAATGGAAGTATATTTTTATAGTTAGAAAATAAATGAGAATACAATGCGCTATGTTAGGTTCCTCTCATATAGTTTCCATCTTCAAGATTGCTATCCAATAAGCTTTTAGTATTTGCATGTAGAAATTCCATTGCAAAATGCACACCTGAGAGCTCACGTCCTGGAACAGGGAGGTCTCGTGGCTTTGTTGCCCCAAATGCTAAAATGACCGCATCATTCTCTTCGCGAAGGCGTTCAATTGAGTACACCGAATCGCTTCCTAATTCCAGGACAGAGGAACTGCAAATATTATTACAACTCATTGTTTACCAACAAAACAAACTATATGATTATGATTACCTACCTACAAAAGTGGGCCCCAACAATCCGGAATTGGGATTTTGTTCCTTCTCCAATTAGATTTAAGCCAAGTGTGGGACTACTGCTTGCAAGAATGCAATGTTAAGGGCAATCACAAGGACTGGACCATGGTGTTTGGATCACAACAACAAACCTACATACACAAAACACAATTTTAGTATTTCTGGAACCTATTAAGGATATCACTCATTGTAAGAAATAGAAAAGAATGAAAAGTTTTTAGGAAATCATAGGGACTTACCGAGCTGCAAGGGTCATCCATGTGCTGTTCTTTCTGCAAACTACACCACATATTTCCAAATTAAATCTGACAGTATGGTGACTGACTATGCTACAAAAAAAATGCAAAATTAACTCCTTTTTATCTTTATCACAAACTATTATGTGAATCCGATATGGTTGTATTTTTTTATTCAATATGCAAGTACCCAACAAAGATTCACATAACAGCCATGGATGGCAACAAGCAGGGAAGCACAAAGGTATTGCTTTTTTCAACAAAACCTACAAGTATATGCACAACTAAGAAACTAATAAGTTAAATAAACCTCATCTTTTCAGAAAGTTTTATGTGAAACTGGCATGAGGCTTTTACCTTTTACCATGAAAAGATAACTGAATAAAGGATTTGCAACAGAAGTCACAAAGGGCTTACAGGGTAGTATAATGCACTTACAGTTGTGTTGGTCAACGACTTAACAATGTGGTAGTATAATGCAGTCAGTGTGTCCCCCTTGTCATTCCTGTTACAATATTTAATTAATTAATCATCAACATAATTACTTTAAAAGATTAATTTTTTATATAACAAAATAAACATCGGTTCATCCGGAGTGTAAGTCACGTCCAGATAGTGGCCTTTCAGCTATCACAGAACTTGACCCATGTTATATAACAGGTAAATTCTTTTCATCTCTCCATCTGTATATACATAAACACACACACGTATACGTTATATGTAAGTTGTAACATATAGTCCCTAAAAGTGAATTCTTGATTATCAGGTCCTCTTTCATCAGTATGGAAAGAATGGTGCATTGAATTTGGGATTGAGGCAAATGATATTCTTGCTATTCCATATGATTGGAGATTGTCACCATCAAAGCTTGAAGAATGGGATTTGTACTTCCACAAGCTAAAGTTTGTATTCAGTTATCATATGATCTGAATCATAATAATTTTGAAACCTACATATTATTTTTTTTTAATTTCTTTGCAGACTTACCTTTGAAACAGCTCTGAAGAATGTCCCATTTACTTATTTATTAGGGTTGTTTTATGGACACGGGACTTGAAATCAAGAATAAGGTTCCCTCACCACTTTACAATCACACACTCGCCACAATTCTGGTGGAATATGCTTCTGCAGTAAGATGAACATGATATCGTGAGACATTATGGAGTAATTAAGTTAAGTAGAAGAATTAATAATAAACTATGCAGGTTTACATGTCAAATTTAACATTTTTACTTGGACTTGTTCAAGATGTGATGCCCTTACCACGGTACTTGGCACAGTTTATATGAAAACTGAAAAACAGTATTTTTCAAATTATGCTGATTTTGTTGTTATCTTGAATCAGGGTTTTGAAGTATTAGAGCTGATTGTTGATGTTGAGAACTGTCTTCAGGCCTTTGTTGGGGTTGCAGATGATCTGGATGCAATTGTTATTGCATTCAGAACTGTTCCCTAACACCCTGAGTTTAGTTTCATCACCATCATCCAGTTTAGATACATCAAGACAGTTTGCAAAAATCTGAAAATACAACAAATTATGAGGTTACATACACTCTAGTAATTTTTACACTTAGAAGGACGATTTATAGGTCTCAGGCTCATCAAAAACTTGCTTGAATCACCAACAATGCAAATACATACCAAGAACAATCATTTGTTTAGACTCTTCCATTGGTCCCTGCAACCGTTGAAATGCTTTTCTTGCACTGCCCTGTATCAACATACAAAAACCAACAATCATACTCATACATATATATATATATATATATATATATATATATATATATATATATATATATATATATATATATAAAGAAAATGAATATTGCCTCTAGAATGCCGAGTAAAGTAGAGGGATAAGGCTGAGAGCTCCCTGAATCTTTAGCACTATCCGCCCCATCGACATTATTTCAATCCATTAATATTTTATGCCACTCTTTGCATTCTTTTGACTTGCGAAAAATGCACTGCACAAACATGTAACAAGCCAAACATTTAAATCATATTTTTAAAAAAAAATTAAAAAGTTCTCCTTTAACAATTTCCTTTCTAAAGGAATAACCTGATGCAGGAACTTTGAGAGGAACTTTGATTATTCATCATTGATGTATTTGAGGTTGTGGGAACATAAAACTTTCCGGTTCAAGAAGAATCAGTGGTGCTACTCCCATAACTATCACCTGCAAAGTATGCGTATTAAGTACCCCATCAACATTAAAGAGGATACTACAGTGATAAAAGTAGAGAGAGAGAGAGAGAGAGTACCCTGTGACATCTGTTGTTGATGGACATTCAGAACAGTCCCATAATGAGAAGGTGTCTCATTTTCTCTGTGACATTTGAAAATCCATAAGCTTTGTGTTGTAAAGTAGACCTGATTCCCCCACCCATATGGCTCCCAAAGCTATGTAATATGTGACTGTTCTGGCCACCAACTTGGTGCTTCTGGTTTAGTGGCTGAGATACCATTGTTGAGTCAATAGTCGATAGCCCAACAACATTGTTGGACATATCTGTTTTCATGTAATACTGATTAGTATTACTATTATTAAATCTAGGAGTAGGCATCATTCACCATTCATAGTCCATAACAAAGAGACCAAAACCCTAACTTATCAGTGAAAATAGACAGAAAGAATCAAAATAGTAAACATGTGGATGTGTGTGTGGTGCTGTGTGCGACTGTGAACAACTATCATAATGGGATTAAGAAGCAAAAAAGTACGGGAGATGGATGTCTCACCTGAGACATAAAAAAAAGAATAAGGGAGATGGAATGGAGCGTACCTGAGATGCTTAGAGTGTAGAATTGGGGATCAAGGAAAGAGGAGGAAATCACGATTAATATCTGTATCGCCTTTCCAGTTAGGGTTTTACAGAGGAGAATACAAGAAGAATCAAAATCGAAATCAGAGGCATGAATAAAGGAGAAAGAAGAGCAATTTTTACAACACATAAGAGTGCACCTTACCAAATAATCCTTCGATTGACTGCAATTTGGAGTCAAATCGATATCGATTCAGCTAGATAATATCAATTTCGATTTCAATTTCATCTACTCCAAGTCTTTGTGGCCTATAAAACACGGTGTGTGGCTGATGATGGACAACCTGCGAGCTGCTGGTTTGTACCCAACGCTTTACCAGCAATACCTTCTCCCGATACGAGCTGCTGGGTTGAGGTCGCCTCAAAGAACCCTAAAATCTCTGGATCGAACACATACGAAGCGGATTCAATCACATAAATGGGCTCGGATCTTCCTTCACATGGGCCCCATGTTTACCTTGTCTAATTATTGGAAACCATAGTTGAACAAGAAGGTCTGTGTCCATTATGCATTTTTCATTCAATAGTCAAAGTCTTGAACCAATCGATCATCAAAGAATTCTTGATAGTCATCAAGAGGGTTCAAATCTGTTTCCTTTGGGGAAATGATTGGATCAAATCTGTTTCCTTTGGGGAAACGACTGGAAACCATATACGGATTAGGGTTTACAGAGAAAATGAGAAGGAGAGATTGAAGGTTGTCGGCTGGTGGCGTGCTTTCCTTGATCGACGTCGACGACCGGAATGGCAAGTAACGATGGTCGAAGTGTGAGGGAAGAAGTAGGTGGCAGTCAATGTCGGCAGGGGGAAGGAAGGAGTGTCGATAATTAGGGCAAGAGGGAAAGGAACAAAAAGGAAGGCGGGGATTTTAATTTTTTAGGATTTCATTTTCCCCCTCAACTACTAAAGGATGGAAGGCGCGTTTCCATTTAAATTTATAAAGCGACATCCTCAGATGACACACGTTTTATTATAGGCGCCCTCCGTGTTTTTTTTAGACACTAATTTAAGGGTACGCAAAAATGCGCGCCCTAAATCCTTAAAATTTATAGAGAGATGACATTATTTTTAGATCACACTCGTTTGCGTATCGTGAATCAATGCGTATCATAAATTGCACGTCGTAAAAAGTTGTTTTTCTAGTAGTGTATGTTACTAAAATTTCTTTAGTGGGTGATGGATTTAATGATTGGTATTAGCAAATAAATCTTATCTTGTATAAAGTTTAAATATTTGTAAACCTATGTAATCCTTATCTATAACTTATGTACTGATATATACATGAATACACAGCAGCCACAAAGTGTGGAAAATATTAATTAACATGGTATTAGCCTGGTTAACCTAATCTCGTCAATTACCCCCTCCTTTTTTTCCATCGATTCTGATTTCGCTATGGCTTCTTCGTCTGACATAATGCCTCTCTGAACAATTCTTCACCTTCTTACTATTAAGCTATCATCATCCAACTACCTTCTCTGGAAAAATCAAATCCAACCGCTTCTTTCATATCAAAATCTCCTAGGACACGTTGATGGGTCTTCTGTCGCTCCTCCTATCACCATTACAGTTGAAGGTAAAACTACTCCCAATCCTGTTTATACAACCTGGAAAGAGACTGATCAAAGGGCACTTCTTATTCTCCAATCCTCATTATTTGAGGAAGCTATAGTCGAAACCCTTGGCCTGGTTACAACCCATGAAATCTAGAAAGCATTGGAACAAGCTTTTAGCCATGACTCACGTGAGAGGCTACAAACTCTCCGTGATTCATTAAGACATCTACAAAAGGGATCTTCTACAGTTACAAAGCTTGGTAGAAAGTTCAAAAACCTTTGTGATCAATTGGCAGCAATTGGCCATCCGGTTGATAACACAAACAAAGCTCATTACTTTCTCTGTGGTCTTGGGCCAGCTTTTGAATCCTTCTCCACTTCACATCGAACAACCCCCAATTATCCTCCCTTTCGCACCTCGCTCTCTCAAGCAAAGAGCCACGAGATGTTTATCTCTTCCATTCCCGGTTCTCCAGCCACTATAGTGGATGCCTTCACTGCTCAAACTCACACCACTTCTCCTCAACTGGCACCTCGTGGAGGCCACTCAAACCGAGGGAAGGGTCGTGGCACATACTCAGGTGGTAGAGGACACGAAAGACGTCCTCCTCATTGTCAACTATGCAGGAAAAATAGACACTACGCATCTTTGATAGTTTCATTTTATTTACTTCTTTATATAGTTTATTTTAGCATATTTCATCCATAATCTAGTTAATTTCAATGCATGTTTTCCTTTTTGTTATTTTATGACTATTTCGGGTACTTTCTAGTTTTGTGAGCTTTATTGCAGATTTCATGGAGATTAGTGGAGCGGGAGTGTTCGAGACGTATGGAAAGCGATGGGAATTGGTGGACAACAAGGATCTTTGGCTTGATGCGTGGTGGAGATGATGCATGGAGCGAGCTTGATAATTATTTGAAGGCTTAGAGAAAATGAACTTTAAAATTGCAAGATGTGGGAGAATATTCGACCATGTGGAGAGTAATGATTGGACAGTTATGGAGGTTATGGATCATTTGGAGAAGTTATCTTAGGCTTAAAATGAAGCAAACTTGAAGAAAAATGGGCTAGGAGCTGATTGGACTCGAACCGGGCCAAGTGGGATAAGCTATGGAGGCCCAAACCTCAAAGAAGCCCATTTTAGACACCACATGCGCAACAGCACGCGGGTCGCGCAATGCCCTGCATGGGTAATTTCGGTAATCCATTTTCAAGGCTATTTGAGGAAGGTTGGTGCCCATCTTTTGCACACTCTTTTACATCTGATTTTTGAGCATTCTCTGTGGAATTTTGGAAACTTTTGAAGGCCAAGAACACCTAAAGAACATCATCTTTTCAACTCTTGATTCTTGTTTAATGTTTGGCACAATCTTCTCTAACTTTGTTTCTTTGAGTTTAGCCATGCTTGGCTAAGCTAATCTTGGTTGACTTTTGTTGAATCCTTTGAACTTTTGTTGAATGTTGAAGAATCCATGAACATGTTCTTAAATCTTTATGGGAATGTTTTGTGTTTTAACATCTTATCACTACTTGTATGTTTTTATTCATGAGTTTAAATGTATTTGTGGTGATTAGTTGGCTAATTTCTTGATTAAGTAAAGGATCCTTAAATTAGCAAGAAACAAATGAT